TTCTTTAAAGTGTTACTTAAATCATCCTGGCTGGTGTGGCTCAGTGGGTTGAAGCATCATCCCATACACCAAAAAGTGACAGGTTCGATTCCCAGTCAGGGCACATACCCAGGTTTCAGGTTTGATCCTGGTGGGGCCACGTACAGGAGGCAACCAATTGATGTTTCTCTCTCACAGTGATGTTTCTTTTCCTCTCTCTAAAATCAATAAGTAAAATTTTAAAAAAATAAATCATCTCAGCTTCCCTATGATTCTTTAACTCAGAAACTTATTTTTACCCCACCAAAGCTGCTTTGGTAAGTTGCCAAAGGTCTCAAGTAGCCATATCCAACAGGTACTGTCAGTCTTCATCTTATTGGGCCTTTCGTCACCACCTGGCATCATGCTCTTTCCTCCCTTCTTTCCTGACAGAACTCTCTTCTAATTCTCTCTTTGATTCTCTGATCATTCTATGTTAGTCTCTTCCTGCATCCACTCTTTTTTAAAAATACGCTTTTAATTGATTTTTAGAGAGAGGGAGAAGGATAGAAACAGGGAAGCATCATCGATCAGCTGCCTCCTGCACACCCCCTGCTGGTGATAGAGCCCGCAACCCAGGCCTGTGCCTTGACTGGAAATCAAACCAGCGACCTCTTGGTTCCTGAGTCCACACTCAACCGCTGAGCCACGCGGGCCAGACCTCCTGCATTCACTCTTAAATGTTTTCCCAGACTCCATCATCTGCCCATTGCTCTCCTCCCTTCCTCTGTCCACCCCTGGTCATTCTGTCTATTCAGCTTCTACTGAGTTGACGACACCCCAATTCTGTATCTCCAGCCCTGATATCTCTCCAGTTTCAGAAGTTTAAGTGCCTGCTGGGCCTGACATATCCTACATGGTCTTCACACTCACCATGCCAAAAACTAAAATCATCCTTCAACTCACTTTCTCATCCAAAGCTGTCTCCCATTTGCATGTTCCCCACTTTAAGGACATCCCAGCCTAACCCAGAAACCTGGAAGTCATGTAGGATTTTCTCCCTAAATTCAGTCAATTGCCAAATCGCACTGATGTACCCAAACATCTCTTGAGACAATGTTTTCTGTACTTCAAGTTCAGGACCTCATCATCCTTGCTTGTACTACTACACTAGCGCCCCACCTCATCTCCAACTTGTGTCTTAGCCCGACCATCTCCCCTGATGGCCATCTACCACCCTGCTACCAAAGTGGTCCATCTAAACTGCAATCTAGCCCTAGCCGGTTTGGCTCAGTGGATAGATCATTGGCCTGAGAACTGAAAAGTCCCAGGTTCGATTCCGGTCAAGGGCACATGCCTGGATTTTAGGCTCAATGCCCAGTGGGAGACTTGCAGGAGGCAGCCAATCCATGATTCTCTCTCATGGATGTTTCTATCTTTCTCTTCCTTCCTCTCTGACATCAATAAAAACATATTTAAAAAATAAACTGCAAATCTATGTCAAATTTTTCAATGGCTCCCCTTCACCCCAGGTAAAATGCATACCCCTTATCAAGGCAAGTTCTTGTATGATTTGACTCCGGATCCCCTTTCCAGGTTCAGCGCTCATTCCTGACCTCGAGCTACAGCTTTAATAACATCCGATTTGTTTTGTTTCCTCGCCTAACAACTAGTCTCTACTCCTTCCTTCATCGCTGCACTTGTTGACCCCAGGAGGCCTAACTGTAATGACCTTACTCCCATGGCCTTGCGGGTCAGGCACACCTCCTTCGGGAACGGAGACCAAGTAATCCTTCCAACCCGGGCGCTGAATACATCCTCCCTCTGGACTGCTAGGACAATGTGTGGACGGCACAACCGTTGTTTGGTGTTAAATTATGCTTACACGTGTTTTCCCTATAAAAAGGAAAAGTCTTTGCGGGCAAGAACTGTGTTTTATTCACACCTGAATCCCAAGCTTACTGCAGTGCCGGCTATAACACACATGCCCCGTTCGATGTCTACCCGATCGGTCCCGTCCACCCCCTCGAGGAGCAAGACCCGGCACGGGGATTCGGATCCTCTTCTCCGAGTCGGGGTGGGAGCTCGGTAAGGACAGCGGTGCGGAGGGGGCGAGCTCCTCTGAGCAGCCTCGGCGGGGCTGGCTCCCAGAGGCAGAGCTTGCAGATGTGCCCCCTCATCACGTCGGCCCAGGCCGGGAGAGACGCGCTCCGGGAATAGCTGGGCCCGCAGCGCGGGGGTCGCCGCTGTGGTTTCGACCGGAGCCAGAGCGGCCAGAGGGAAGGAGGAGAGGAGGACCGCCGCGCTCCAGAGGCCACGCCACCCGCAGAGGACTCCTCCCGCCTCCCTGCCCAGCCGGAACCGCGCTGGGAGCCCCGGCCACCGGACCCTCACCTCGGCCTCCTCGGGCACCGCAGAGGACACTCAGCCTCCACACGCTCGCCATCTCGCTCCTGGAGGTTCAAGGTCATCCAGTAACCCGGAAACAGTCACAGGCACCGCCCACCACACCACACAAAAGAAAACAAGGAAAAGGAAAACGCTTGGTGAACCGGAAGTCGGGAGTTGGGAGCCGGGAGTCGGTGTGCGGCCGCCGCACATGCGCACACATGTGACCGGAAGTCCGGAGCCCCGAGGCGGACAATGGCGGAGCTGGGAGAGGCCGACGAAGCGGAATTGCAGCGCCTGGTGGCGGCCGAGCAGCAGAAGGCGCAGTTCACCGCACAGGTACGGGACAGGGACCAGGGTGAAGAGAAACGAGGCTGCAGTCAGACCCCAGGCGGCCGCGGGGAGGTCGCCCGATGTCCCTGCCTGGCCCGGTTTCCTCGCAAGAGAAACGAGTCGCGGCACCCCTGCCCTGGTGCACGGCGGTGCCCAGGGGCCGTTAAGCAAGCCCCGTTGGAGAAAGTAGGCGTGAAGCAGAAAAGAAAGGTTTGGGCGGCACGAGGGTCCGGGAGCCGAGCTGGGCGGCGAGCCCTCTGGGCTGACGTTCGGGAGATCTAGGTTCTAATCGTGCCTCTGCCGCTGACGTGCCACGTGCCTCCAGGCGGACACCCAGCCACTGCGCGTCTCGGTTTCGCAGTCGCCCGGTCCCTTGCTGCACTGTGAGGACCAGGCGCGATAATGTATTTGGAAACGGTAGAACCTTATTGGGGAGGTTGGGGTGGGGGGGGCGGCTCTGAAGTAATCAGCCTGCAAGAGCTTTGGAGCTCGTTCGGCACGGAACCCCGGCCCGGTGCCGCATTAGCCGCGTTACTTAGGGCTGATTACCTACCGCCTCTTCAACGGTGACAAGTCATCTTTTATTACCGCAAAGAGGATTGACTGAGTGCCTAGTTCTCAGCCTCCCCAAATAGTGAACTCTTGGTAAATGATATTTTTTCTCTCCTCTCCGCCCCTCCCCCACCTCCGACCACCACCCTGGTTAGAAATCTTTGAGTCCTGAACATTATGAAAGTGCATACATCTTCTGTGCCTGTATGTGCATTTTTTTGGAGAGTGGATCCATTGGATTCTCAAAAAGGTTAAGAACCCAAGAAGGGATAGATTTAGAATGATACGGGTGCAGTGATTTGGGGGATTAATAGGTACCATACTTTCTCAGCTTACACTGGTGCTAGTTTGGGATTTTTTTTAAAAAAAAAAGGTAATTAATCCTGCCTGAAAATTTACATTCTGATTGAGGACTTGACACAAGTAGAAAATAATAGACAGTGGCCTTCAGGCAAGTAAGAATTCGAACTGTTTTGAAGAATTGGTGAAATCTTTAGGGAGGGCCTTCAAGAATATTAAGAGTCAAGTTGAGCCCTAGCCAGTGTAGCTCAGAGCCTCAGCCCTCACACAGAAGTTCGATTCCTGGTACCTGGGTTGTAGGTTTGATCCCCAGCCCAGTCGGGAATAGTGGGGAAGGCAACCCCCACTTCCAGTCTCTCTAATGGAAAAAAATATCGTCAGGTGAGGATTAACAACAAAAAGAGTCAAGTTGGGTATGCTGTGTGGGCCTCATTGAAACCGTAGGGGTGGGGGTTAAATAAGGGAGTGCCCTGAGTAGCTAACCGAGAAACTGATGATTAAGCAAACACAGGTGACTTGATGGAAAGTATTTTGTAATTACTGAAGAGAAAAATAGAAAAGGAGAGGATAAAAGAATTGTTGCAATGTAGGGCTGAGGGTCTGGACCATATTGGGGACAGTAGGAAGTGAGGAAAGAGGAGAGCCCATGGTTTGTTCATTGAATGAATGTTTTAATTAAGTGACAGAAAATGAAAATGGGAAGGAAATAAGAAAATTGGCAGGTAGACCTATATACAGGCCCTAATGGTTACTGCTTTTCTTTCCTCTCAGGTGCACCACTTCATGGAGCTATGTTGGGATAAATGTGTGGAAAAGCCAGGGAACCGCCTAGACTCTCGTACTGAAAATTGTCTCTCGAGCTGTGTGGACCGCTTCATTGACACTACTCTCGCCATCACCAGCCGTTTTGCCCAGATTGTACAGAAAGGAGGGCAGTAGGCCATTCCCTGGGAGAATGACAGAAGCAGCAAAGGACTTGTTATTAAGCAGATTGAAGGGCCAGTAAGGGAAAGTTGTCAACCCACTGTCAGGTCAACTTCAGGCTATTACCAAGCATGTTGGTGCTAAAAAGTAACAGATCGAAAATTCAAAAATGAAATTTATTTATTTGGAATTCAGAAACTCCACATTGTATCACAACAATTATTCAATAAATGTGAGTTCTCCGACTCTATTTTTAAAATCCCATTTTAGGATTTAATAAGATCTCTGATTGGCAGAAACACTAGGACTAAACATGTTCCAGGGCTAGTAGTGCAAATGGTATTTAAGGGGCTGGAAGAAACATCAGAGCCTTAGCCTAAGGCATAGAAGAAAATTTAGGGTTGAGAAAGGTGAAGAACAGAAAACAGCTTTATTGCTTATACATGACCAAGAAAAGGTAAACATGGCAAAAAACAAAACAAGCAAGATGTATATTCATTGGGAAAGAGAAGTCTGCTACTGTGGGAGGAAGGGAAGGTCAAGACCCAAACAACCAACTTCCTGGAGATGCTTTGTCCCACTCACCCATTCTCCTGAGTCTGCTGAGACTCAGTACTTTTATAGCACAGAAACAATGTTTAAAACCAAAAAAAAAAAGGGAACACTCCCTCCAACAAAGATTTCACTTGCTCCAAGAACAAAACTGCTTTAGGTTAAGAGGTAATTATAGACTGCTCTTCCTCTCTTGGATCCCTACTAATCCCAAAGGTAAAAATATACACCATTGAACATTGACAGTTGAGTACCAAAGTGTTAATATTTCAAATAAATAGCCCCAAAGGTAGCACCTGCTTGTAATTGGGATCAGGAACCTCTAGCCAACCATGTACTTCATGACCAAACATTTTGTTAGCAATCTGTCTGTAAAGACGGATTTGGCAGAACTATAAACTTTACCATCTCGTGGAATGATGTCATAGTTATATTCTATTGCTAGTGTCCTATGTCATATCGCCATGAAGTATTTGCATATTACATATGGGGTTCAAAGGAAGGCCAGAGAGGTTAACTTACCTACTCCAGACCACACAACCAATTAGTGGCAGAACCAAGACAAGTGAGTTTTCAAGCTTTTTACTCAGCCCATGAAGTGACAACTAGGAAAAACAATATGTCACTTAATCTTCTGCCATAATGAAAAAATTAACTTGTGTTCTGCCAGCCTTTTCAGTGTTACTTTCTCATGAATTAACATAGTAGGGATTACACATATAGCAAAAGGGAATAATATGGTCTCTGCTTGGTGCTTTAATCCAAAGGCAAGCTGGAAAAGAAGTAGATAATGTCCCTGAGAAGTCTTTCATTTTGGATTTGATTCAACCTAGTTTCAGGGAAAATCTAAAGTTCCTTAATAGATTTCAAAATGAACAAGGACGACACTTAAATGGCAGATGCTGCCCTGAAGCCCGTTCAGAGCACCATCAAATGACTGACTCCTAATTCTTCCCCATTTGTTAAGGATGTAACCGAAAAGAAGTAATTTTTGAACACAAGTCCATTTAGGCAATATACAGCAATGGAACTAGACAACCATTTACTATCCATAAAGAATTTAAAAAGAAAAAAGACATTTACTATCCAATTATCATGCTTATGGGTATACTGAATATAGCTACAGTCCCTGTCCAGCAGGAAAACTTAACAGAAAACGCTGATAACAGTTGTCTATGGGTGTTGTAAAGGTAAAATATTGGTTCTTACGCTCATTTCCCCGTTAAATAAAAGACCAGACCAATGGGGCCAAAATACAGAAAGATCAAAGCACCAAGGCTGAGACAAAGTGGCACCTGCAATATAAACCAAACAAGAGCAACTGGATGTTCCCTTAGCATACATTCCGCACAGCACTGGTTCCAATCTACCTCGTGATGCTAGCCTTCACTTTCCCCAAACTCAACATTCTAACTGGTATACCCAGATCATTATTGGGTTCTGCCTCCTGGGTCCTTTAATTTGCTGTATATACACTCTACGCTAAATGTAATTAACTGCAAAAAATAATCTCTTCAAGAAACCTTCATAACAAAATACCAGATTCCCTATTAACAATAAGAGGATCAAGTTTAACAGGCCAAAATTGAAGACAAGTCTGTCAGATGTACACAGACGGCACAGGACAACTCCGCCCTCAGGCCCCCTGTGCTGCTCAAGAGTCATCGGCAAAGCCCCAAGGTGCAAGAGCTGTCAATATCCAAGTCAGTGGGAACTGAAGGCTGTTTCTCATTTAGTCATCCTCCGAACTCTCAGCAGACCTTTCATCTGTAGCCACTTTCCAATTTGTGCGTTTGTTTGTTTTTGTCCTCTCCTGTATTTCATTGCTAACTACAGGGATACTGACTTTATCTCTTTTTTCCCTTTTGGTTTTCTTAGCGTCTCTTTCCTCAGAACTACTGGATGCTGCGTCATCAGACTGAGAAGTGTCACTTTCTGCCTCTAAAACTAGAGCAGACTTTTTGAGAGACTTTTTCCTTGATTTTTTCTTACGCTTATGTGGTTGTTTCCTGGTACTAGAAGCCCCAGTTTCTTCTGAGAACTCGTTTGAGGAATCTGCTGTTATACCTGTGACTTCCTTTTTGCTTTTCTTCTGTTTTTTGTGTGACTTCTTTTTCTGCTTTTTTTTGTGAGATTTCTTTGATTTCTTGTGTTTGTGAGATTCATGGGTAGATGATTTTACCTGGGGAGATCTTTTTTTCCCATTGGTAATATCTTGATGATCACTAATAAAAAAGAAAAACACCTTTACTATAGAAAATAAAAATATTTTAATATTCTGCATTCCAGATAGAAAGTTATGGTTAAAATCTAAATTTTACAACAGCTTTGACATAGGGTTACTATGAGACTTAATAACTCTGAGTTTTTCCTCATCTTTAAAATGAAGATAAAAATTCTAATCTGTAAAACAAGACTAAAACCATTAAAAATCACTGGACTCAGGGGAAAAAAAGAGTATATTAAGATCTGCTTATCACTAGTATTAGCAACACTGGGCATCATAAAAAATTTTTTTTTTTGCCAATCCAATAGGTAGAAAACTTTTGTTTAAAATTATATAAGAATTTTTAATTTGAAAAACTTCTAATCTGCCATACTGAATTACTGTATGGGACACTAAATATAAAGACCTAAGTGCTATACTCCTGGCCAGTGTGACTCGGTTGGGAACCCTCTCATGCACCAAGAGGTTACCAGTTTGATTCCCAGTCAGGGCACATGCCCAGGGTTGCGGGCTTGATCCCCAGTACAGGGCATGCAGGAGGCAGCTGATGGATGTTTCTCTCCTTTCTCTTCCTCTCTCTCTCTCAAATCACCGAAAACATATTTTTAAAAAAAACAAGTGCTATAGATATGTCAAACATCAATCAGGGAAAAGCAAAATACCTATCATCTTCCATGTAAATTGCCAATTATTCTTTGGTTACATTTTTAATGGCAAACGTTACATGCTTTGCAAAAACTGCGCTTAAACTCAAATTACAGTTCAGACTTTGTACTAAGCTTAGTTTCTAACTTTTCCAGTAAGCCTATTTGTCTTACCTGTCTGTTTCAAATTCTTCAGGGTATAACTCTTTATAACCACTGTGACCCCATCTGTAAGATGACATTTTATTATACATATTGTTAAAGCAGTGCATATGCTTTTGAAAATTAAATCAGACAGACTTAGGAATGCATGCACACAGACATACACACAGAACAAAAAAAACCAGAGATACGGTAAAGCCAACCCCACATAGCCCAGTAATCTTAGTTGGCTATTTTTCTGTGCTGCACACTATTATTTCAGATACAAAGAATTCCTTTGTCCATTTGTAAGAAAACTTGCCATTCTCTTCCTTAAGAAAACTTACAATCTGCTCTCTTTAGCTATGAAGTACTTCTCCAAAAACACTTCATAACATAATGTTTACATTGGTACAATTTTTTAAAAATTACTATTGAGCCCTAGCTGGTTTGGCTCAGTGGATAGAGCATCGGCCTGTGGACTGAAAGGTCCCAGGTTCGATTCCGGTCAAGGGCACATGCCCAGGTTGTGGACTCGATCCCCAGTAGGGGGCGTGCAGGAGGCAGCCGATCAATAATTCTCATCATTGATGTTTCTATCTCCCTCTCCCTTATTCTCTGAAATCAATAAAAATATATCTTTAAAAAATAGTAGTAACTATTGAAATATAATTCATAAAGTGTGCAAATCAGTGGCTTTTAGTATAATCAGAGTTGTACAACCATCACCACTATCTTACTTCAGAACACTTTCATCACCCCAAAAAGAAACTGCATTAGCAGTCACTCTCCATTCCTCCCTCTCCTGTAGCTCATAACAACCACTTATCTACTTTCTGTCTCTATGGCTTTGCCTATTCTAGACATATATAAATAGGATCATATAACAAATGGCCTTTTAGGTCTGGCTCTTTTCACCTACCATCATATTTTCAAGGTTCATCCATATTGTAGTATGTTTTCAGTACTTTATGCCTTCTACAGCCAGATAACATTCCATTACTTGTTCCATATACCACATTTTGTTTATTCATTCATCAGCTAATAGACATTTGGGTTTCCACTTTTTTTGCCACACTGAATAATTATGCTGTGAACATTTGTGTACAAGTTTTTGTAGAGATAATTAAGTTTGTAAAGTTCACATTCTCATGCCAAATATCATTAATGGCCACAAGAATTTAGTCACAAACCTGTCTGGCATGTTAGCTTCATAATCATATAACTTCTTGTTCCAGGATTTAGCCTTAAGAAAATCATCTTCCAGTGCCTCAGAAATTTCATTCCTTGGCCTCCAATTGTCTCTTTGACTTTCTTCATCAAAACCGTCACTACGCATCCGGCTAGATGAGGAAACAGAAGGATTTTTAGATTTATAAGTAATCTGTGAAGCTACTTTATGGAACATCATGCACAAAACTCATTGAACAAACTACTAGCAAGAGGGAGAACAAAACAACCTGATACTATTTTTTTAAATCATGTAAAAAGACACGATCTATTCCTCTCTGTAAATTTGTACAGTTGTCCAATGAAAATCTGACCATTGTTACCCACCCTATTGAACTTCTGGACTGTGGTACGCTGTAGCTCACTCACTAATTCTCAACTAGGAGGGCATGCAAAGTGGGAAGCAGAGCATAATCACAGCTGGGGACATTGCAAACTATCCTAGATTCTACATATACACTCCCTTCCTGGAGAACCAGCACCTTGCTGTAGTGAGGTCACAGTAACAATGGGTAAGTCCTAACCCATGAGTACGCTGGGGTAGAAAATCAGTTGAAAACAATTGACTCAGCCTGTACTTACAATATCCACTAACCAGTCACTAAAGCTAGCTAATTGGTTATCAAAAATGTTTCAGGGTTCCTATGTGTCAGGTACTGTTCTAGCCACTGAGAATATAATGCAAATGAGACAATCAGAATCCCTGCCCTTAAAGAGATTGTGTTTGAAGCTTTACTCACCATGAAAGGTCTTACTAATAGTCCACTCAAGAAAAACAAGCTCTGGCTGGTTTGGCTCAGTGAATAGAGCATCAGCCTGCAGATGGAAGGGGCAGATGGAAGGGTCCAGGGTCCAGTCAAGGGTACATGCCAGGGTTGTGGACCTGATCCCCAGTAGGGGGCATGCAGGAGGCAGCCGATCAATGATTCTCTCTCATCATTGATGTTTCTATCTCTCTCTCCCTCTCCCTTCCTCTCTGAAATCAATAAAAATATATGTATTTTTAATTTTTTCAAAGAAGAACAATATTCTGGCCCTGGCTGGTTGGTCAGTGGTTAGAGCATTGACCCACAGACAAGGGTGGTTGGTTCAATTCCGGTCAAGGGCAAGTACCTTGATTGCAGGTTCGATCCCCAGCATTGGTTAGGGTGTGTGGGGGACGCAACCAATCAATGTGTCTCTCTCACATCGCTGTTTCTCTCTGTGTGTCTCTCCCCCTCCCTTCCACTCTCTATAAATCAATGGAAAAAATATCCTTGGGGTGAGGATTAACAAAAAAGAACAATATTTTGTTCCTGGAGATACCACTGGAAACTGAACAACCAACACAAAATAAATCATCATCTGCACTAACAGTACTTCTAAATTCTCAAAGAACCATCAGAGAAATACAAACTGAAAAATATATTTATTTTTATGTTGAAACTCTGCTTTCTTTACTATGGATACTCTGCATACTTTCTTGTCTAAAGCCATTTACACAAAGCCAGTCATACTCCAAAGTCCACGTACTCTGCAGACACATTCACTCTCCTTAAATATCTCACTATTAACACATTGCGGACCAGCAGTTTTACTTCTAGCTTTTACCCAGTGGCCCGATAAGTTTCTATTGAACAAGTACAAAAAAAACATTTTACATAAATGTTAAAGGCACACTTTAAAATTAAATACCCATTGCATTTTGAAGTTATTAATTACATGTTCTTACAAGCTAATATCTTTTTAATAACGTGATTGGCCACAAGCCTTAGAACAGAAAACACGAGAATTCTCGTGATCCGTCTGCAATGTGGTAACTATTCCCATGGTGGCTTTAGAATCAGCATTACTACTTTTGAGTCATTTTTCATACACACAGCTGTACACCAACAGGCACAGGAGGCCCAACAGATGTTCATAATACTCAGACATTCCTATATCACTACAGGTATGACAAGCCTGCACAATCCCTTATATTAACTCTCAAATTAATAAGAAGGTAATGTGAAAGACTGTGATTTGGCGAAGATGGAGAGTAGATGGGGTAAAGAAGAGGCTTAGAGAAAAAAGTTTAAAAATTTAAAAAAGGCTGGGAGAGAGAATGAAAGACTAATAATGGAAAGGAGTATATGATCAGCTAAGCGACCATAGATACAAATAGAAAATCTAAGATTAAAAGATATCAGATAAGGTCAGAATCCATAGAATCCTTAATGTTTACAATTGTTCAAGGTAGACTTTTAAAATTCTCTATTGCAAATGAATACAAAGAGTGAGACCATATGCATGATAGCCATTATTACCTTTATACTTGGGTCTAGGTTTATGAAAGAGGGAATGCTTAAGGACTCACAAAACTGAATCCATGTATCTTTAGCATACCAAAATGATTTTAAACAAAAAGTTGATGATTTTGAAAAGGTGAGAATTATGTTGGTTCTCAGAGCTCCACTTCACCTTGAACTGCTGGGCAACATTTTCCTTTTGCTCCCCCGGTAAGCATCTTCCATCTGTTTCTCCAGTTCTCTTATTTTCCACATATCTGATTCCTCCTGAATCTAGGGTTTTTTTTAAAGGAAAGAAATTAAAATAAGTTACTGAAAATAACACTTTACATCACAAAAAAGTAACTAAAAATACAGTTTGCACTAATTATGGGATTTTAGACTGAGTTATGATCAAGAACCTGGGAAATTCTGGTTTTTCACTGTGGTTAAACAATCCAACCCAGTAAATCAAATATGTAGAATTCTGCAGCAACAGAATTTTTTAACCCTTGCATAGACACACTTAGAATCTTATCAATTTTGTAATTATGTTGCAATTACCAAATAATAATCCTTGATGTTTCTAAAATGCTTTATCATTTTATTTTTTTTAAATATATTTTATTGATTTTTTACAGAGAGGAAGGGAGAGGGATAGAGAGAAACATCGATGAGAGAGAAACATCGATCAGCTGCCTCCTGCACATCTCCTATTGGGGATGTGCCCGCAAGCCAGGTACGTGCCCGCAAGCCAGGTACATGCCCTTGACCGGAATCGAACCTGGGACCCTTCAGTCCGTAGGCCGACGCTCTATCCACTGAGCCAAACCGGTTTCGGCTAAAATGCTTTATCATTTTAAATGTATCATCTCAATTGAACCTTAAGCAATCTTATGAGGAAAGCAAAGCAAGATGCCATTATTATATTCTACTGAGAAGAAACAAAAGCTCAGAAATTTTACCAAAGTCAAAAAGCTAGTAAGGACAGGCCTTTAAACTTTCAGGCTAAGTTCCTTTTCACAACATTCTAATTTTTTTTTTAAATATATTTTATTGATTTTTTACAGAGAGGAAGGGAGAGAGATAGAGAGTTAGAAACATCGATGAGAGAGAAACATCGATCAGCTAGCTGCCTCCTGCACATCTCCCACTGGGGATGTGCCCGCAACCCAGGTACATGCCCTTGACCGGAATCGAACTTGGGACCTTTCAATCCGCAGACCGACGATCTATCCACTGAGCCAAACCGGTTTCGGCAACATTCTAATTTTTACTAAAAACAAAATAAAAAGACATGAGAATTGCTAGGGAATTTCTAGAGAGTCAGATTACAACTAACCAAAAAATAAGAATATGTTTTATTTCTAAATCCTCCTATTGCCCTAGCCAGTTTGGCTCAATGCATAGAGCAATGGCCTGCGGACTGAAGGGTCCCAGGTTTGATTCCATTCACAGGCATGTACCTTGGCTGTAGCTCCTCCCCAGTCCCAGCCCTGGTCAGGGCACAAGCAGGAGGCAATTAATCTATGTGTTTCTTTCACATCAATATTTCTCTGTCTTTCTTTCTCTCTTCCACTCTCTCTGAAAATCAATGGAAAAATATCCTCAGGTGAGAATTAAAAATAATAATAAATAAAGTTTCATAAATTGCCTTAACAAAGCATTTAAAAATAAATAATCCTCCTATAATATTTTGTTAAATCTGTGCTACATTATCTTTTTTAGCCACCACTTTCAAATCTAAGTTCACCTTTCAACTAGGGGTGATTTAAGGCAATTGCAGAGTTATAACCTCACTCACAATCAAATTATCAGGTGACATTAGAATAATACCTTTTAAGATCAAACTAGGAATTACACAGTTCACCAAAGAAAACCAAACAGGGGTCCTTGGCCCTCTTTTCATTATATGTGTTCTCCTAGGTGACCTCATCTACCTACTCTCATAACCTATGTCATTCCCTATATACCAATAATCCCCAAACCAAGAATCAACATTTCTCCTTTGCTCCAAGTCTGAATTCCCAACTCTTTTGGACATCCTATAAGCTCCTCCCCGTCAACATCTTCAAACAAAACTAATTACATTTCCCATCATACTTTTCCCTTTCTTTTTTTTTTTTTACATTTACATATATTAAATTTATTATAATTAGAATGAATTTAATGGTTCTCAGATTTGGCCACCTTATAGATCAGTTTGAGAGGATTTTTAACAGAAAATGCATTGTAAATGCATGGTCAAATTACACATAAAAAAACTATAAAGAAAAGTAATGCATCCCTCAGTTTCACATAATTAAAGAACAGGAGAAAGCGTGCAAGCTACAGCATAGCTAAATTTACCAAACCAACCAAAGCCGGGGGGATTTTCTCTTCTGATTATGTGTCATAAAAACGTCCCCTGTCTTACACACACGTGTATAATGTCACATTCCATCACTGTAAAAAGTCCCCTTTGTGCCTCCCCTCCAAAAAGTTTCAGTCTAGTCCCCAAACTTGGACGGCGGCGCCCGCTCCTGCTGCGGTGCAGTTCGTTCTCCGTCAGCAGCTGCAGGTTCTCGGGGCACAGCCGCCCAACCACTTGCTTTCCAGCCGCGACCGGTTGTTCTCGCCCTCCATGCGAGAGAGGCACGTCTCCAGCTCCAGGTACTCCCTGATGAGCTCCTGCTTGCTCATGTTCTGCAGGCTCTCCGCGTGGAACCGCTCGTAGGTCTCCGAGAAGTCCCGCTGCAGAAACTCGCTGCCCCCGTCCTCCTCACCCGCCTCTTCCATAAACTCTTCGTCGCTGGTGTCCGTTGGCCGCAGCCCGCTTGGGGTAGAAGCCGGTTTTGAGGTCCGGCTCCTCCTGGTCGTGATCATCCATAGGAACTGCGTGGTGTTATAGGGCGCCACCGGCTGGCCCTTGGCGAACATCTCGGCTCGAACCCTCGAAGCTCGAAGACTCTGTTTCTCGTCGAACTTTCTCTTCTCCTCCCAAGTCAGCTTGTAGTACGGCTTCCAGTGCCGCTTCTTCTTGGAAGGGCGTCGCCTGTGTTTCTCCTTGCCCAGCTGTCTCTGCTGCTGTTTCCAGGACTCCTCGCCTCCAGCGGCAGGAGCCCCCAACTTGGCTTCGGAGTCATGACACGGTTGGGTGAGCGGCTCGGTCTCGGGCCTCTGTTCCCCTCCCGCTAGCGGCGGGGCGGTTTGCCAGCGGACAAGTTATCTCCATTCTGGCCCTTTTCGTCCGCTTCCAGGCAGCGAAGTTCTGGACAGACCTGGGTTGGCAAAGGGGACGGCTGGGGGTCCAGGCTCCCTTCCCCTCTGGCCCTGGATGCCCCCCGGCTGGGGGGAGCGCTCTTGCTTGCCACCTACTGTCGTCCTCAGGCACCGGCTCCTCTGCACCCAGGGGCGGTTCGGGGTTCCGCTCTTCATGGACAGCATCAGCACCTGCACGGTTGCCAGTTTGAGGCTGGTCCTGAAAGGAGTGGCTCGGCCATGGCAACAAGAGTCCTCAAAGTTTGAAGAATTTTGGCTGCAAGTCTTTGAAGAAAAAAGAGGTTTTTCTTTTCTTGAAGAAAAAAATGCCCAACAGATTCCACTTCGGTAATTCCTGCAGTGATGCCTTCAGCCAGTCCTGTCAGCAAACTCCAACTGCAACTTGGGGGCGCTCAAGTCAGTAAAGGGTTAAGCGCCACCGCGCGATCAGCTAAGCAGGTCCAAAGGGGTGCAGCAGCAGGAACAGCACTTAATGTACGAAGGGGGTCACCTCAAGCGTCCCCGCAGAGCGCCCCCCACGATGGAGGAATTGGTGGGCTAGATGGGGTTAAGTCCAGTGGGTTAAACCCAGCCCTGAAGGGGTTAAAACTACCCGATGATGCTGCCTCTGAGGGGCCGCACCCACAAAGGGTTAAATCCCCTGCCTCAGAACTCACAAGGGGTTAAGGTCCCAGCAGCGCCACCTCCTCCCACTTCCACGGATGCCCTGTCGCTCCAACCTGAGCTCCCAGTTCCTTAGGCCAGGCCGGAGCCTCATCCGAGGACAAACTTATCTCCCCTTTGGCTCAATGCTCTGCTCTGCATGCATCTCCTCTCTTCCTCCTGCTCAGGACAGCTCTTCCAACAACTCTTCCGCCTCCTCCCCTTCACTGCCCCTCCCAACCTGCCTCCCCACCTGCCAACTTCCAACTGCTTACTTGTCCCTTTCTTTTGTTTCCTATCATCATCACTCTCCTAATCACACAAGATAGTAATATTTGATTCCATAATTATCACCACCATCCAATCAGTCACCAAGTTCTTTGGATTCTGTCTCCTAAATTCCTCATCTTCATCCCTACTGTCACTGCTTTCATATGAACCCCCCTCATCATCTCTCACCTGGAAAACTGCAATTGCTTCCTAATTGGTCTCTCTACTGTTCACCCCATTTGATCTATCACCTATCCAATTAAAAAATCATCTTTCTAAAATATAATCAAGCCGAAACCGGTTTGGCTCAGTGGATAGAGCGTCGGCCTGCAGACTGAAGGGTCCCAGGTTCGATTCCGGTCAGGGGCATGTACCTGGGTTGCGGGCACATCCCCAGTAGGAGATGTGCAGGAGGCAGCTGATCGATGTCTCTCTCTCATCGATGTTTCTAACTCTCTATATCTCTCCCTTCCTCTCTGTAAAAAATCAATAAAATATATTTTAAAATAATAAAAATAAAAAAAATAAAATATAATCAAGTCACACTCAGCTTAAAAACATTTGATGGTTTCCCAGCCAGTGTGACTCAGTTGGTTGAGTGTTGTCCCATGCACCAGGTCACCTGTTCAATTCCCAGTCAGGGCACCTGCCCAAGTTGCAGGCTCAATCCCCAGCAGGAGGCGTGCAAGAGTCAGCCCATCCATCTTTCCCATAGATGTTTTTAGCTCTCCCTCTCCCTTCCTTCCTCAGAAATCAATAAAATCGTATTTTAAAAATAAAAATATATATATTTGATGGTTTATTTATTGCCTAGAGGAAAGAAATCTAATCTCCAACCACCATAATCCATGCTGGCCTCATCTTCTGTCAGTAGCCCCCCATTTACTACTTTCTGGATGCACACAACTTCTTGCCATTCTCCATGCACTTTCTTACTGCCATATGTTAGCACATGATTTTCTCTCTGTACAGAATGATTTTTTACACCTGGAAATCTTGAACCTGTTCATCAAGAACTAGTTCAAGCCGAAACCGGTTTGGCTCAGTGGATAGAGCGTCAGCCTGCAGACTGAAAGGTCCCAGGTACGATTCCAATCAAGGGCATGTACCTGGGTTGCGGGCACATCCCCAGTAGGAGATGTGCAGGAGGCAGCTGATTGATGTTTCTCTCTCATCGATGTTTCTAACTCTCTATCTCTCTCCCTTCCTCTCTGTAAAAAATCAATAAAATATATTTTAAAAAAAATAACTAGTTCAAATATCAGTGCCTCAAATACCACCCATTCTGAGAAGCCTTTCCTAATTCCCCAAGGCAGATTTCATTATTCCTTCCTTAGTGCACTAAAACATTTTACATATCTCTACTTAGTAATTTTCAAACTATATGGCAATTATCTACTTTATTCATCTTTGTATCTCCCAACAGTACCAAAACGACGCCTGCCACGCTGTGTGCCCTCATTAAGTGTTGAGGGGTAACAGGGTTGTCCCTCTCACCTTATTGTGAGCATCTGTATGCCGGATGACATTCCTTAGGAGGACTTTCCCCAGCGGAACCCGGGACATTCTTCAATCTGAAATGAATCAATACACATTTAAAAATAAAAATTCCCTTTATTACCTTATATTTTTATTATAATACTATAAAGAAGCATGAGACAAAGAAAAGATCACTTAGAACTCAGAAGTCTTGGGTAATAGTTTTTTCTTCAGCATCAAAAAGGGGGAAATTCCTGATCACAGAAATATGAGGATGAAAGGAGATAGTGCACAATGGAATTCTTTGGGATGACACTATTTACTCCTCAAAATAACTGTGTTGTATGTGAGTATCTTCATTTCTAATTAGTAGATAAAATTCCCTTAAAGCCGTAACTTATCTCAGGCCACACAGTCCAAGGCAAACATGGTCCAGGTTAAAAATCAACTCTCCAATCTCACAGTTAGTTGGCGATGAAGCTATTATCTGGATGTGAGAGTATCGGGGGCCACAAATATCAACAGTAACAAAAACATCCAATACAGAGACGCCCTAAATTCCTCCACTCGGGGAAAGTTTACTTTCTATTTTGTAGAGAAGCCTCCAAAAAAAACAGACGACAGGGCTACTCCCTGTGTGGCTAGCAGGGGCTTTGTGCGACCACCCCACCGCTCACTCACCCCTCGATCCTGAGGAAATCGGGCATCTTGTTAGTGTGAGACGAAGAACCACTCCATTACAAGATCTCCTCCGACCCAGGCGGCCCAGGAGTCAGGGCTCAAAGGCAGCTCTGCAGCTTCACCCGAGTCCTTGGTGAAAACGCAGCCTTCCCACCGGTTATTCTGCCCTCGCCCGCGCCCCGGGCCCCGGCGGCCCT